CTTTTTCTTTTCCTTTTCTTTATAATTTGTATTTTCAATTTTCTTTTTCATTTCTAACTTTGTAACTTTAAAATTTCAATAAAATATTATTTTTTTTAAAAAGCCTCTCCCCAGTTTGTTTATTTAGCGTATGGCATCTCATACATGGACTTACGTTAAATACTAACATTTAGCCTAAGTGAAAAGCACTTTAAAATATGAATATTAAAAAGATCTAAATTCAAATACCGATGTCTAGGCCATCTAACCATTGAAGCGCAGCATTGTTTATATATAAAAAAAATCAGATAACACTCTCCCCAGTGTTTTGGGTATTGCAGGCACATGGAAAAAAGGGGCGAGGTTTTAATCAGGAGGTCACAGCCACCATCTTGACTTTTCTGACCTCCCCTGTGGATACCCCTGACAGTAGCCTCTTTTTTGCTGCACCAAAAGGCTTCTCCAGGAGTAGCTGTGGGAGAAGTGGGGGGAAGTGTGGGGAAGAGGAATGCCTTCTTAATGCTCGGCCTGAGAACAGAGAACCCGTCCCTCATCAAACATTTCTGGAGATGTTTCTCAGAAGCCCCGCTCGACTTCTTCTTTTTTTTAATATATATATAATTTTTACTGAGAGTTTTAACAACAACAGTAAGAACTAATACAAACTGAAGTAGAACGAGAAAGAAGTAAGGGAGAAATAAAGGAAAAAGCTAAAAGTACAAAGAAGAAAAAGAGGAAAGTAAAGAAGAAAAAAGAAGAAGAAAAGTAGAAAGAAGAAGATATAGGAAAAGATATCAAGAAGTGGCTTCCAATCTTCTTCACAGCAGTTATAAATACAATTATATTTTAACCTCTCCCTCTAAGGTTACAGCATGACTCTCTTCTTTCTATAATCTAGCCTGTCTAATCATTAAAACCATAAATCACAAATTTGTTTTTTTATTTTTGGTGCAAAAAATCCACAAGGGGTTTCCAGTCACCAATAAAGGTAGATATTGCCTTTTCTCTAATCCAGCGTTTCTCAACCTTGGCAACTTTCAGACGGGTGGACTTCAACTCCCAGAATTCCCCAGCCAGCAAGCTTGAAGTCCACCCTTCTGAAAGCTGCCAAGGTTGGCAAACGCTGCTCTAATCAAACAAGTCAATTTAGCCATTTCAGCAAGTTCTATCCTCTTCACCAATCATTCCTCTGTTGTAGGCACTGCCAAATCTTTCCATCATGGTGCATCCAATAATCTCGCTGAAGCTATCATCCATAAAAACCACGTTCCATGGCTCTTTTCCAACTGTTTATCCATCCGTTCCAGGAGGAGAAGTAGAAGCCCCAACTCGACTCTGATCCACCTCCTCCCAAACATCTGGAGGGCAGCATCTGGATTTAGCGCTCTCTACGCAGCATTGCAGGACATCCATGCTTCTCTGTTCTAAGCCCTTCCCCATGGGCGGAGCTTGCCTTTTAACCCCACCCCCTGCCCACCCCGCTCACCTCAATGGCGGGCAGCGTTTTGTTCGTCTCGGTGCTTCCTTCCCCCAAGATGCTACCGGCAGACCGTCCTTCACACTGATACCGGAAGCGCATCCCTCGCTGCTTCGGCTGCTCGGTGATCACTAGCTTGGGGGGTTCCTGCATGATGCCATCCAGCGGCTCCTGGGGCACTGTGGGGCACCTGGAAGGGGCAGGCGGTGGCCAAGGAGCATCAGCGCACCGGCTGCTGGGGAGCGGAAGGCGCGACATCCCTCTCGAGATCAGCTCGGACCGCAACGTCAAGTTGTTGAGGCTCTGGGACAGCTGGGAAGGGAACGAATCCTGGGGGGACCCCGGGGCCGGGAGGCCAGAGACCCTGTACGGCTCCATCCCGATCTGCAGGAGGCTCATCCCTCCAGGCTTGACTAGACTCTGCGTCTCCACTGGTGGCGTGAAGTCGGTGCTTCGGGGAATCAGCTTGGCTGGCCCGTTCAGAGGGGCCCGGGCGAGCCCGGGGCTCTCATCAAATCCATCTTCCTTAATCAGTTCATCGATGATGGCTAGAAAGCAAAAAGGGAAAGGCGGGGCCAGCAGTTGGGCCAGGCTGGTTTGTCCAAACTCTGCTTTGTTGACTAAGCCACAGCTACCTGGATCCCCATAAATCATAGCTTGGAAACCACAATGGCCGAGTTCCAACAACATGCTAAGCCAAAGCCCCCAAAAAACATATGGCCGTTCAGCTGAGGCCACACCCAGCACCCATAGCTTGCTTAACCAACTTTTACTGAATTTACATTTACTTAGAAAATGTGTCTGCCACCCACTCTCTTTAACATTCACACAAGAAGCCGTAACGGTTCAACTCACATGTCATGTTAATCCAGCCTGGTTCATAACCTCTGATTCATGGCTTAGTGTTACTTGTGAAGGCAGCTAACTGTTGCTTATTAAGCAAACCAGGAAAGCAAACCATGGCTAAGAGCAAGTTGAGAATCAAACCTCTATTTCAGAACCTTCTTCCAGGCTACAGATCTCTGAAGCATCTTTTAGCTTTTGTTCCAAACTGCTGCATATCCCTGTTCCAGACTTTGGAGCCAATTCGTCTTGCAACAAATAGAGACCCATATTTTGGGGGAGGAGGGGTTAAGAAGAAAGCAGTGCCTCTTAACATGTGAAGAATCTCTCCCCCAAGGAGTTAAAACCAGTTCTCCAAGACATGGGATATGCAGCTAGAGTTCCTTGCCCGCTCTCCCTCCAAGAACACCAAGCGACCTGCATCTGATTTTAAGCCCATCTCTCCATCATCACGCGGTCAGCCTAGGATGGAGATGTATAACAGGGCATGATCAGCTGATGATGATTCTGGACCCCCATACAGGTGGATAACCTCACCCAGCAGTTTCATGGAGATGTTGAATAAGAGCAGAGAGAGAGAGATGTAATGGCATGTGGGAAAGACCTTGGGAGATGCTCCCAAGGGAACGGTCAGATAAGAGACAGCACAGCCCGCAGCTGGATAGTGGGTGGGGCAAGAGGGTCAGAAGAGACCCTCCCTAATTTCTCAGGCTGTAACAGGGGGAGAATCGTACTGCAGACCTGCAAGATTCTGTCCATGTAGCTTTACAATAAAATAGAATCAGCTCATCTGGTTCTGATTCCTCTCTGGTTTACCCCGCGAGGCCGACAAAGTAGAGTTTGAAACCCAAAGCTAATGCCTCAGTTAGGTCGAGAATATCTCCTTACCTGCAATGGGCAGCACCCCTCTATAACCCCCAAGCGCTTACCTAGTTCATCTGTGAAAGAAAAAGAAAAATAGTATTATTATTACTTTGGGATGCAGTATATTCCTTACGTTTGCTCAGCATGCATATCAGCTTCTCAGACAGCTCAGCCTTTGGCAAGATTTGAATAGAGCAAAATCAGAGAATAATGGGGTAAATCTGGCGGCCATGCTATTGTGGAGATATTGAATCCTAAATCACGGTTCACAAACCACAAGGCCTAAAGCAGAACCAAGGAAGAAACACAATCTTTTGACAGGTTGCACGAACCAAGCCTTGCATTCATTCATAATGCAGTTCCTATTTTTGGTTTAGCATGTTAATGTGAACCCATTGGCTCACATTAAGAAATGGTTTGCAGTTTGTTAACCAGAGTTTATATGAGCACAGCCTATATGTTGGGGTTGTTCTGAACAGCTCGCACCCACACTAAGGGTTCTCCCCTGTCTCTCTGTTTCTTGCACCCAAAGGGGGATCCATGGGGAAATCTCTGAGTTTGGCTTTCTAATCACCAACTTTTTCTTCACTTACATTTTCTCTTTCACTGATAAAGGTAGAATTAAATTCTGGACCTCTCTCAAGAAGTCTGGTGGAGCCCTATAAAGCAGGACGCTGAGAATCCTTACCAGCACTCTCTCCGGTCGGCTGCATCATGGATAAGCTAGACGTTGGAAGCAGAGGGCCTGCAAAAGAATACAAAGTCAGATGCTGGATGAGTTCATCTTCTCCTCCAGAGCCCCCATATTTTCCAGTTCAATCCTGCGAGCTGGAATCCCCCTGATAAATCAGGCCATAAATTAAATCAGAAGTGAACACTTGGCAAGCTTTCCCCAGTGGTTAGCCGTGGTTTACTCAAATCAATTTTCTGCATTTGCAGGACTCACTGAACATCAGCTCACCATACAGGCGGGTTCCTCCAACAAGGCTGGGGCAAAATGGGACCAGCTACTTTGCAATTCAGGGTGTCCTGCAAACACAGCTGCACGGGGTGGGGGAAATGGACAGGGGCATTACCTGACAAATTTAATACATCATCCTCTCTCTGTCAGAGGCTCCCTCCTCTCCTTTTTATGCTCACTGAATTCTTGCACAGTTAAGAACCCGGATAGTCCAGATCTCTAATTTGCACAAGGCTCCGTCTTCCTTACGGAAGTCTACAAGGATGGTGAGGGAGCGTTGAAACCAGCACAGCCCTGCCTGCTCTACCTTCTGATCTGGATTCCAAATACAAGCAGAGCACGTGAAGGTGGGTTTCACCTGCCTCCCCAACAAAAAAGAATGCTTAACCAAAGGAAAGCATTTGGGGGCATAGTTGCCCTCTGGCAGACCCCAATTAGCTGTTTTGGCTCTGACAGCCATTAGCAATTGGAGCCCCCCCCACTGAAATTTCCCACAATGCCTCTGAAGTTCAGTCCAGGGGATTGTGGGAAACTTACATTGGCCATTCCAAGTTGTGCAATATGGCAGGCCCAGGGCAGGCGTCAGCTGTCCAAGGCTGCCAGATGCTAACTCAGTCACTGAGATTAATATTTTCCCTTTCCAGTTGAGATGCCTGCAAGACAAATAATAAAAATCAAAGATTAACACTTACAGGCATCAGATCAGGGCATGTTTGCAGGGTATGGTCAAAAAAGGCAAGAAGCCAGCCACAATGGTGCGATCAAAGCTTTGCAGCGCACATAAAAAACAGGCAGAGCTTTGAATGTACCACCATGGCTCCCCTTTTGCCTTTTTTGACCATACCCTACATGAGATATTTTGACTAGGGAAAAAATAGCCATTAAGAGACAAAGGTAAATATGATTTGACGTAGCTTCCTCCAACCCAGCAACCTCTGGATGTCCAGATGGGAATTGTAGATGCATATTCCCTTGCAGTTAAGCCGCCCAGAGTCCCCCATTGTGGGGAGATGGGCGGGGACAAGTCCAATAAATAAATAAACCATGGTTTTCTGAGTTAACCTAATTGCCTGCTTTCACATAATACATTAAAAACACATTTTAGCCTACTGTGTTTTGTGAACTCAGCCTTAGTTTGTATTAGAAGTGAGGGGAATGGCTTTGGTGGGGATATAAATTGCTTTTTCATTAAACCTCATTAAAAGTTAATTAAATGGAGTTGGGGCAAAACTGCAGCCCCAAATTCATTATTCCTGCCATTTTTTATTTATTATTCTTATAAACTGCAACACCTCTCAGGGGTTTACCCTAGCCCAGTTAAGCATAAAAAAACACCACATTTATAAAAGTATCAAGAAACAAGTCCCTAAACCAAGAACCAATTTTCTGGATTCTCAGAATAGGAAACCAATTCCAGAGTTTTTTCCACCTATAACCCATTTGTTTCAGGCAGAAGAGGAGGATGGCCGGCAGCCAAGTGGAGGGACTCAGTGACAATGGCGATGGGGGCGCCCTTGGAAGACCTGAAAGACCAGGTTGGGGCAGATCCTGCTGGAGAAAATCTATCCATGTGGTCGCTAAGAGTTGACACCAACTTGATTATATAATTTATCTCTCACCTTTATATAAACTCTCTCTCTCCCCTCCCTCTCTCACGCGTGCACACACACACACACACACACACACACTTTGTTGTACATCACTCAGATCAGGACAGGTTGCAGATATTAGTAAATCCGTCAAAAGAAATAAAGCCTACAGTTCAATCTCTCAGTTACTCCAGCCCGGGAGCTGAGCCTAAACAAGATTAAACCTGGTTAGAACTTGGATGGGAGACCACCAGAACATGCCAGGGTTGTGGATTAGCATCCTGGCTGGGCGCTGGGCGATATTCCTCCTTCGCAGGCAAAAAAAGAAAGAAAGATGGAAAGCGACGCGCAAGAAACAACGTTAGCCCAGT